CATGCATAGTATACAGTATAGCAGGGAGGACCTGGCATGAGGGTTTCGTGGATCACTTCATGCCGATTTATACTTATACTAGGGTTATTTGCATTTATTAGGCTTTATTTTATTTTTCTGTTAATTAAGCCTAGCTGGGAAGCTGCTCCTTAGAGGCTACAGGCCTGTATACTCCTAAAATATATAGTGTATGGCTATACTGGAAGTAATCGTGGGAAGCTTAGCTGGAATTGCCTCATCTATTATTGCTTGGCCTTTGAATGAGTTGGAATGCGTGAAGCGTGAGAGCTTCACTGTTTTGCATATTATCTCTGTTGTTTCCACATCATATAAAAGTTCATGTCCAATGATTGAACTTGCAACAATTTACTGTTTGCCAAGAGATCTGTTGTACATCGTACAGTATATCTTTTACAGTGTTCTTACCTTGGTAAAATGCAGGTAACGTACTTGACAAGAGTAAAATGTACATGAAAAGTCAATGGATTAGCATAACATGACAATGACCACCCAAATCTGCATCCATGGTAGTTTGTGACTTGATGCTTTATTATTGCAGGTTCGACCATGCATGTGCCAATGTCAGAGGAAAGCAGTGATGCATCTGTTGACGTCTCTCTCATTACGGGAAAAACGAGGAGCATTGGGATCACAGAGGAATTGACACTGGGACAAAGTACTACTGCTGTCATCGACAGAAATTCGAGTCTGACCATGGTAGCCGAGTCCTCCACCGCAGGTATGTATCCTACAGTTACAACCTCACTGCGAGGGAATCAATGCCGATAACAATGGATAACATAGATTGTTTCACTCCACAAATGGTTCCATCTCAACTAGGAAATAATTGTATGGCATAAACAGGATAAAGGAAATGTTTGTGGCAAAACGATGCTATTATAATTAATATTATTATATTTATTATTGCCATTATTATGTGTGTGATATGTTTCTTGTCCAGCGGAGTATTTAGAACAGCGGTCGTGGAGAGGACTGGAGCAAGCACTGGGCGAGACAGCTGTCTCGAAAGCCAAGGAGGGTAGAAGAGGCATCGCAGCAGGCTATGAGAACGAACCTGCCAGCTAACCCAGATTCCGTAGCATGGAAGAGTCTGACATAGCACCCATGACCACCAGATCTGATTAATTAATGCCGATGTTAATGAGAATAGCACGTGGTCAACCTTCAAATTGTTAACAGAATAGTGAATGCAATATATATGCATATAAAGTTTCCAAATTACCGACTGTTTACGTTCATTTATCTTATTCAATGTGGTGATTCTCTTGATGCGTGAAAACACGGGAAACGCAAATAACGACGGCGCTCGTACTTTTGCATTCATCTACTCGGGAGTTCTTCTTTTCGTACCTCTTGATGTCGTCCACCAATATTAATCGTGTGGCGTCATCTCTCATCTATTCATGTTATCTGTCTGTCTATCTGTCTATCCATCCATCCATCCATTCGCTTACCCTTCTCCCCAGCCGTCCATCCATCCGGCATACCAATACAACCTGGTTAACAACGATGCTGGTCTGCATAGCGGTCGTCCCTAAATGCTTCCCAAGCGATAGCATCACAAACGCACACGAAACCATAATGCCCTTTAGCCACACCGCTTTCTGTACGGCTGTTTATTTCTGACAATAACAGTCTAACAATCGCATGCAGCCGTCGCCTTGCCAATAACTTGCACTGACAACACTAGGCACGCGACGCACCTGGTTGTTCGAGGTTCTATCACTACACAATTTAACGTCCTGTGATTGTCCTCTAGAAGTCTCTAGCGTTCTAATTTCACTCTTTTTTTCTGACGCGAATATCGCTCAGTGGTGCATAAATGTAGCGCTGTTATAGAAAAAGAGCTTGACGCTTGTAGCCGGAAGATCTCAAACGGGGGAGAACGACGATAACAGTAACTTAATAGTCTAAATTTGACAAAATCCACGCCGTATCTTGCCTCTGCGAGCCTACTTCTTCTTCTTCTTCTTCAAGATGTCTGCATCTTCCAACTGTGACTCAAGCATCTTGGTCATAACACCAGTACCTAGAGTCACCTGTCCATCTCGCAGTGTAAAGCGCTGACCTAGAGTGAGAGAAGGCAAACAGAGCTGCAACAGTCGCACGTGTCTACCACTAACATTTCATTGCACGTTATACACACACTACACAGGCATGCATGAACTTTTCAGTCTTTTTGATACGTTCAAATTCATCTCTTCTATATACTTCTGCACGCATAGCAAGTTCTCCAAACCAGAAATCAAACTGACATTAATACTACAACGTCAGCTGGTCCGCGAAAGAGTATAAAGCTAAGAAAACGCATGTATAACCGTTCGAAAATGCCTGGCGATCAATGTGAAAGACGCGAAACGCCGACAAAAACACGTTAGACGCCACGCGTGCTCGCGCCTCTCACCTGCCTCCATCACCATGGGCTTGATGAGGTTTAGTATGATGGTGGCATCCTCGCCTGGCATCACCATGTCCTTGGTGGGAAGCTCGATGGCCGCTGTGCAGTCCCACGTCTTGGAGAACACGACGGGCTGGTAGTTGGCGGTGAACGGCTTCGAGCGACCGCCTTCCTCCTTGCTGAGCATGTAGATCTGCCGAGGACAACCCACAAGTTCATTACACTCCCCAGTGAAAAAAATAAACAGGGGCTCGGGGCGATTTAGCCCCCGAAATGCCAAAAAGAGCCCCCGTAAATTTGCAGAGTTCAATGCAAACCAAATTTTAGAGTGCTATTTTCATGCACACGAGCTTGAAAAGTAGCCCCCGAAAAATAAATTTTTTCCCTGCCCCCACCGCTAGCTGGAAAAGTCGACGACGACGTCGAGAGAATGGCGTTGCTAGTAAAACCGTGAACAGAGAGATAGTAGCTTCACTGGTGAAACCGTCAACAGAGAGATAGTAGCTTCACCGGTGCTAAGAGCACTTAGAGTAGGGACAGGGGACA